AAAAAGTTTCAAAAATCCAATAGATTTCGTTCCACTTCACAATTGTGTCCCACTTGTTGGTGATTCTTCACATAAAATAAAAAATTTATATCTTTGAAGCCTGAAATGTGGCAAAAGGTTGAAAAGTTCAAGGGGGCCGAATACTTTCACAAGGCACTGTATGCTCTAAGACTGTTGTACCACTTCTTCACATCTCGTAAACATGCAACCAGACTGAAAGGACAACAGAGGTTTCCCTAGAATAATGGCTTTAGATTAATGGAATATTAATTAACACCTGAAGAAGGCTCCGCAGCTGAAACATATTTTTTTTCTTTTCTTTTCAGCATGGAATAAACCTATTACTTGTTCCTTTGCAGCCTACGCATGCTGACACAGCTACCTACCTAAACTACTTTAGATTAATGGTACACACTTGGGAGAAAGATTATTAAAAATTATTACCCTGATGTCTACGTGTATCTGTAGGGTTTCACTTTCTAAATATCCTCAAGACACTCTGCCAAAATTAGGCTGAAAAATAAGTAGTGGGTTGGGTTCCCAGCTGAAGAGTAATGGGTTCAAATCCAGGGCAGGGAGCACTGCTGTTATACCTTGGAGAAAATTGCTTCACACATCTTGATTGATTAAATGCTGTGTAGTGTTAGCGGGTCTCTGGGTCATCAGTGTTGATGAGAATATAATCTCAACTAGCATATCTGTTTATATATATGATTAAATGCTGCTGTCTTGCATAAAGGGGATGAAATGTTTTTAATTCTCTTCCTACTTTCTGACTGAATGCCTTATATATGAACTTTATACATGATTCTTTTTTTCTTCTGTGAAATATTAAAATTAAAGATAAAAATTAAACAATGATCACATATATTAATACACTCATGAGAGTTTTCCAAGTTAGCACCATTTTATGGTTGTTTTTTTCCTTTGTGGAATTAGGAGTATTTGAGCTTCAGGACTAGTGGCCCTGAGTGATTAATAGTAATCAGCTAAAGAGGTTTGAAGACATCATCTACAGCAAGAGGCTAAATCATTAAGGGACAGTAGCATGGAGCTGAAAATGATTATTTAGTTTTAAGAACATAGCTTAAGAACTAATACTATCCATCTGAAGCCTCAATTTGTTTGTTAAATGCTGCAGTATGTTCAGTATCAGGAATTGATGACCCTGTTCGGTATCAGGAATTGAACCACAATCTGAGCTTTTCTTTCTGTGTGGACAAGGGTGCAGGACTGTTAATGTGCTTGTAAATATGTCTGGGCCCTGCGTAATGAAAGCTGAAGTATTATTCCTTAAACTTTCTCTGCTTGTGGATTTCTCAACCCAAAACATGTTATCCTAATAACAAAAAATGTATATATAAGGTTGTTTGAAATAACCCATTTTCTTCTTGATCGTAAATACAAAATTTAGTTGGATCTAAAATAGCTTTAAGACTTTGTATGCATATGCTCATATAACTGAAACATCTTCATGCATACACATAAAGAACCACAGTTTATTGTCTATAACCCTACAATAAAATGTATCCTTTTCCTGACTGGGCTTGTTTTATTACTAAATAATTTGTTTAACGTTTTTTTTAAACTTTTTTTTAACTTAGCTGAAAAAATAAATGTGTGAGAAAACATGGATTTAGCAAGTGAATTTTAATTTAATTTAATTGCCTTTTTTTCAGTTTCACTTAAAAGGTACTGAACCTGTTCCAGGTTATGCAGAATAAGACTCTTGGCAAAAACCTTCAGATAAATGCAGTTTTAACAGACATCAGATTTAAAGGACAAAATCTAAAGGGGAATTTTGGCTGCAAGTTCAGAAAAAATGACTTTCCCCACAAAAATGGGGAATGCACAAATAATAAAACACAGTAAAATAACCTACAGTACATATGTTTAAAATTCAGGAATATCAATGGTACCCTTTAGGGGTAGTTAGTTGCTAACAATGAGTGCTACAGATTTTCTTCTCTGAGGCAGAAAAAGCCATATCCGATCACAAACCGGAGGTGTATTTGGAGAGGAGAATGGCACTCCCGGACTGCTCTTTTTTGACATTGGGTCTTGCTAAATGGGGTATATGAGAGTTATTGTGCTGGTCTGTGTGTCCCTTGTAGGTGATTTGTGTTTTGCTCTTTGTGTCAGGTAGGCAGATATTGTACTGTAACTGCTAAATTATTTGACTGTAATATAAAGGAAAACTTTGCAGGAAATTGCAAAGGTCTGGTCTGTGGCTGCACTAGTGGCTCTGGGAGATATAAAGAACCTCTTGCAGGGATAAAGGGGATAAATAACCTCTAGCAAGCCTAATGATTGCTAAGTAAGAACTAAGTGTTGGGAAGCTGCATTTAAAACTGAGAACAAACAGTAAAGTTTATACAAAGGGTTGTAGGAGTACTGCATGAAACCAGCCACACAGCCATGTTGCAGAAGATGAAACAATGTCTTTTTTCAAGAAATGGTTGGATAAACACATTGGAGCATTTATCTACTTGCATCAAAACAAGCAAGATGGGGCATATGGCCGGAGACTGGTGAGCTTTCCCTCAAGCGAAATTTCTGGCTTGATGCGCTACAGAACCACTTTATTGGTGACCCTTGCTGTCCATGGTATCCGTAACAGTCTTCTCCAGCACCACAGCTCGAAAGCATCCATCCTCTTTCAGTCAGCTTTTTTCAGGGTCCAGCTTTCACACCCATACATTGATATGGGGAACACAATAGCATGGACCATTTTGCATTTGGTTGTGAGGCTGATGTCTTTGCTCTTCCAGATTTGGTACATGCTCAGCATCACACTATGGCCTAACGCAATTCGTCGCCGGATTTCAGGGCCGCAGTCTCCAGTTCAGTCGATCATGGATCAAAGGATGCAGACAACCTTAACGTATCCGATCTCTTCATTATTGATGGTTATTTTGACTGCTCCATTTCCAGCTGTTGTCATGATCTTCTTTTTGATGTTGAGGTGGAGACCCATCTTTTCACTTTCCTTTTTGATTCTTAAAATGAGGTAATGTTTTCTTACAAACAAGTTAAAATGTATACATATATGGTTTTAAAATCATGGTTAGATACATAATGATTTATCAATTTTTAAATGTCTGATTTAAACCTTTACAAGGAAATGTTTAAAATTAACATAGTAGAACAAACTATGGGTATAATTTTTTAGTATTAACACAGCTTAAATATATCTGAACAAGTTAGCCCAAATATTGTACCAGTTTATCATTGTGTTGTATGTTCTGAGAAACTCAGAAACCACCTCATAGTAGTTCTCTTCTGGTAGCCTAAAATACATAAAGGCATCAATGATATCAACTTACTTCAAATATGAAACTATTGTAATTCTAATATTACATAATTCAAATGTACTGTCTAATTGTGCATTTGAATTTCTAAGAGAACCTGAAAACTGAAGAAACTATTACTGAGACTGACATCCATCATCCATCCAATATCAAAAAGTCACTTTTTGTGGTAGCAGTCGCAGAAGCCCAGATACTGCTCTATAGGCTTACTGCAAGATGCAAGGTTACATCTTACAGTACTATTATACTTAGTTTATAGTACTGTATTGGGTGGGTCAATGTTTTAATTTATTTTGGACCTATGTTATTAGGGGGTGTGTTGGCAATAAAATAAAGGCTTTTGGATTTAACATTGTGACCACCCCGCTAACTTAAACTTAAAAGAGCACATCTTGTGGTTGGCTTTATTTTCAGTGGGGGCTTAGTCAATGAAAAACAATAATCAAGACATTTAATTTTAGTAGGGATCTCAAACTTTATCTAGGTTTTTCTACAGAAATAGGCTCTTCTCAGTTAGACATGCAGAAAACGTTTATACAATAAACCATTGTCGTTATTACACTTACTGAGCTTCATCTGCGTCGTTTGTAACTGAATTTTTACAATAGCAACAAGCTGAACTACAAATTGTGAACGAAGGCAAAATTCAGTAATGCAACACATATTAAGCCTTTAATGTTTAAATTATTTAAAGAGGAGTCTGCTTCACTGTTATCTGTTATCTTTCAAAGACACGGGTAATTAAACCATTCCATTGGTACACTTTGTATTTTTAAATCTATTGATGTAAGATGATATGATAAGTACTTTTACATAACAACAGTAAGCATCAAGCGTTAAAAGCATTATTCAAATTCAGCGGAATGCAAGAATTCTAAGATTTACTTCCGCATTTTATTGTTTTTTTTCTTATCATAAAGTAATGAAAAGCCACTTTTAATGAAGCTATATTAAATAAAGTTTATTATTATTATTTTATTATAATCTAGGTGGATGCTGCACACTAGTGGTGGTGGAGGGGAGTCCCCATTACCTGTAAAGCGCTTTGAGTGGAGTGTCCAGAAAAGCGCTATATAAGTGTAAGCAATTATTATTATTATTATTATTATTATAATCTGTTTTTAAAACATTTAGAGTACTGATGATGACAATATAACGGTGTATAAAGTTAATTATCAGAATTGTTTAACATCCGCCACCAGATGTCTCTGCCCTGCACCGCCAACCATGAATACCACAAAGTTACTGATGAACTTTTCTCCTCCGTGTGCAGTAATCTGACACCAGACTAACCTAAAAATCTGAGGGGTAGGATGGCGTCCCAGCTTTATTCGCAGAAATAGTTCAAATGCTTAAGAGACGGAGTAGGGGAAAGAAGGAAAAGGACAACAGGATGTTTGATTTACTGAATCAAAGTTAACATTTTACGTACTTTAAAATTATTGTTTTCCAAATGATATCAAAACAAGAAGTTTCACTTTCAAGAGGCGCATGGGTAACTACCGTTCTCGGCGGCTGCGTGTGAGGAGGAGATGATGAAGAATTACAACAGCAGTCCCCGCCACAAAAGTCAGACCTCAAATCATAACAGAGATCGAAAACACAAGAGCAACTGGCTTTCAGTGATTTTATTACGATTTTCACTGCGTGATTATGGTTTCTGTATGGCTACCCTGTTCCTGTTCTGTTTGGGCTCACTCTTCTATCAGCTGAACGGAGGACCTCCTAAAATTCTTCTGGACATCCGGCAGTATCTTGGTAAGTCGAGTTTTGTTTGCTAGAGGAATGCTTAGGAGTTGTTTTTTTAATAAAATATTATATTTTACGCAGAGAAAAATATTTATTTTTATCTATGTTTAATGTTTCAATCGCTTAGAAGGTGTGTAACGGCAAATGTGATTCCACGTTGCTGTCCCTGTCCCTTTAGCTCCAGTATAACTACTTAGTAATACAAATATTAAGGGCCCGTACGCTTCCAGGGGTATTTCTTTCCACAAAGCTCCAGACGTCCACGTATCAGGGTCTGCGGAGCTTGATAGCATCAACCAGTTTTATATCACTGTAACAGCATATCTCAAAACGTGTCACTTTTAAAGAAACCGTGTACTTTTTGAGAAACTTAGGTGGTTGAAATTCTTCAATCAAATCCGTTCCTTTACAACGTAAACATGTAAGCACTTTCATTCCAGTTTGAGTTTTGCTTACAACGTTTTAAATGTCCACGAGAAAGCTACAACTAGTTTATGTGTCAACTAGCGTACTTTAGTAGTTGGTAAAAAAAGTATTCGCTTCTTATTGTACTTTTAAGTACTTATTGGTGTTAATTTGGACTGAATCATCATGTCGTAATGAGCTTCTTACAGAATTAACATTGAAATTCTGAATGCATCTTATCCCTAAATAAACGTTATCTACTTGCATTAACACAATCTTTAAGGGCGCCAAATAACGTGTTTAAATAAGCAATACAGTAAACGTCTTGCGTCTTAAGCGTATAGAACGAGATTTGTTCTCGACATTGGAAAAAACCCCGAGCATAATTGTTTATTGTGTTTAATGTTCGATTACGTGGTAATGCCAAACTGTGAGATTACCCTTTTCACATGAAATCTGCGAAATTTAAACTTAATCAAATGGGCTATCTGTACTTTGTCTATCACATACTGTACACAGCTGAGTTTTAAGTGCCGTATTCGGTTAATCCACAGAAATACGAGATATTGTCCTGGAAGATGATTTGCCTAAAACGTTGTAAACTATTTTTATATTGCGCATATCATGAAATGTGGATTACCTCTGTTTCTGGGATCCAAATGATCCAGTTGACATTAAAACTGGGTTGCAAATCGCGCATATGATTAAAAAAACAAACATTTATTAGTTCTGATCATCCCAGAAGGTTTTCAAACAGAAACCATACCATACTTATGGAACCATATACGCAGTTAGTTTAGTTGAATAGCAAATAGAAAAGTTCAAGGAAAGTAAAATCATTTCAAGGTTTTTAGGTGAACTTTTTGTTTAGTTTATTGGAAATTAAAAGAGATCAATTAGTATTTGTATACGCATTTAAACACGCTTTGCTTGTTCTTTTCTGAGTGTGGCCTGTGGAACAAAACAATGTCCCTCCAGATTCAAGGAGCCACATGACTTTGCTTTGTAAATAATTTATGAATATTTTTTTTTAAATAGGGATTTGTACTCAATGCCTCAAATTGACAGTGTTTGTTTCTTTTTGTGTTCTTTACCATCATGATCAAAGGCTAGAATTTTATTGAAACAGTTCAGGTGCAATACATTGCTCAAGGGTACAACAGTCATATTTCACCTTAAGTTTGAACCCACAATCTTCCACTTGCTAGTCCGGATCCCCTAAGCACTGCTCTACGTTGCATGTTGAGTTTTTATAAAATGTGATTCTACATTATTGTCATCACATATTACTTCACATAAGCAGCTAGTCTCAAAATATATAGTACTAATATATTAAGTTAGCTATAATACTTTCTTATAATGGTCTTTTTTAACCTTCTAAAGAACTGATGATAAACTATATCAGAATAATGACATGAATACTTCATGATAAAGTGAAGCAAGAGATAATTTATGTAAATTTGTTTATTTTTCTGGAGATCTTTTGAATTGCGTAACTTTAATTTCACACAGATCATTTTGCTGAATGTGGTGGTTCTTTGTTTTTGTTGCAATGTTTTTTTTTACACTTTGTGCATATAATGTTTATGCTGAGTTAGTTAATAAAACAAATAACTTTGCATGTTTTTTTTCTTTTGAAGGGATATTTGAAGTGTGTCCCCAGTAGAACTCGTGTAAGATAAACAATTATGAAATCACTGGCACTGATTGCTTTTTAAAACCTTTATCCATGTTATGAGTCTTGTGTGACTCTGAAATCAAAATGGTGTGTAATATTATTTAAGGACGTTTAACACAACCAGGAAAGATTCTGAAAGCCCTATTTAGTTGTTAATGACACTTACATTAGCACTAATTGTAGTGCTGAATGTCAAGAGGTAATGCTGGGCAAAGTTCACTTAACCTGAAATTGTTAATCTGTAATAGTATTTTCTGAAATTCGTTGAAACTTGTGAATTCAATAAAAAGTCATTCTTATTTTTCAGTTGTCACTTTTAAACATTTTTATGAAATAATGTCTAAACATAAAAAAGAAATGAGCACAAAAAGAAACTTGTAACTACATTGGTGTATCTCTTTGGAAAATTAAAGTAAACACAGTAGATTCGGGTATTGATTAAATGGTTTTTTGAATCATTTTGATTAAATGATCATCAAGGTACCACTGCCAGCAGCCATATCACCCTGCAACTCACAACTGGCAACGCACTGAAGCTAAGCGAGTGTGAGCCTGGTCAGTACCTGGATGTGAGACCTGCTGGAAAAAACTAAGGTTGCTGCTGGAAGAGGTGTTAGTGAGGCCAGCCGGGGGTGCTCACCCTGCGGTCCGTGTGGGTCCTAATGCCCCAGTATAGTGGTGGGGACACTATACTGTAAAACAAGCGCCGTCTTTCGGATGAGACATAAAACCGAGGTCCTTACTCATGAAAAATCCCAGGGTGTTTCTCGAAAAGAGTAGGGGTGTAACCCCGGCATCCTGGCCAAATTTCCCATGCCTCCTAATAATCCCCCTCTATGAATTGGCTACATTACTTTGTTCTCCTCCCCGACTCCGACGGCAGGCGGAGCGATGGGCTGGTTGGAGTATTCTCGGTCGCAATTAATGGCAATGTCAGCTCAAAGATTTGGTTCAAACCACCAAATGGAGACAGGCGTGCCGACAAGCGGACCCTGCTGATGTGGGATTAACACTAGGAGATATCATCAAGGTACCACTGATCATGGTGCACTATTTCACTATATAGCCTCATTAGTAAAAGAGTTGGTTTGATAAAAATGATGGAGTAATTTAATCTTTTGAATATCTAGCTACCTTCTCAGAAGTATAATGGCTTCATGTCATCAGGATGTTGGAGGCCTGGCTGAGTCATATTGTTGGTTGTCGTCTAGGGTGTTCAGAGCCAGTGGTTTCTAATCTAGCAGAACATTACAGTTGAACATATTTTGTCTATGGTAGGCCTTGCTCTGGGAGACCACGAGTAACTTCACCTTTTCAAGATTGACACATGATTCACCATCTTTATGATGCTTTTTGTGCTGCAGGTTTCACTGCATCAGAAATGCCTGCTCTCAACAATCTGTGCATTAGGGTCCTCTGAATCTGCAGGTAAACAACCTTTATCATTAGCAGGGCAGGTGAGCACACAAGGATCCAGTGCTCACTATTTCTTATCGATGCAATACAGTGAGGTATAGCCTTGCAGAATGATAAAACTATTAGTGTATTAGACAAGTCGATGGGGAGGTTCACTTGTAATGATCTGGGCAGGGGTGCTAGTCTCTTCATAACTCTTCTCGGATTTATTGATGGCAAAATAAAAAGGCTATGCTACATTGAACCAAGTCTTGAGGCCTCACTTGCTCCCCTTATTGCAGGCTCATCCTAACATGACAACATTCCAACAGGATAAGGCACATCCTCATATTGATCAGTTATGTAACCATGGCCTTCTTGAGAGACGACTGTGTGACAGTACTTGTCAGACTCGAGCCTCATCAAAATATGTGGTATGACTTGCAATTATGTGTTGTTCTTAAGGCTTAGGGTCTATTGACCAGACACATGCTTGTTCGGGCTGTACAAGGGTTATGAGACAGAAGCCCCAGAAGCACTTTGGTGCAGAGGATGTGTCGCTGATGTAAATGTAGCAATAAAAGCTGTACATGCTACATTGAGGCTATACACGCTGCTAGCCTGTGAGTTTCACTCTGCATTCTTTATTGAACAGCCCTATTGAAGATAATTGTTCATAAACATAATGAATATACCTGTTTTGTTTGTTAATTGTTAATGTAACTACTACAAAGCCATTTTCCTAATGATAACTATGTAATTTTGTGCCTCTATCAGTGATACGTTTATTTAGATGCTTGCTGTAAATTGTACAGTATATAATATTTCCCATCGTTTGTGTTTTCAAATATCACCTCTCTTGTGAAACTCACATATTAAAATGCACAGTGAAGAGTGAAAGAAGAGTAAGAGACTATAATTTAATGTCTGTAGGTTTTTTATGTAAATTATATTGGTTTGCTTTGGCAACACTGATTTACTCATTGGTCATGCCAATAAAGCATCTTGAATTGAAATGAATATACATTAACCAGACCTACAGTATGTTGTATGGTAAATTGTCCCTTTGTCAAGTTTTTGATTTGTAAATCACAAAATATGTTGGTTGGCATCAGTGTGACTATAACATATTCAGATATGTGTATGTTTTGAGATGTATGTTCTTTTAGAAAGAATATTAAGTAGTACACACTGTAGATATTTCATGGGAAGTGTGTCTCAAAACACTAATACTAGATATCATTTGCTTATTTTGTGGAGTTAGATCTACTCTGCGTTGTTTCAGTCCTTTACAAACTGAGTACTAGAGGTGCGCAGTAAAACCGGTATAGCGTTAACCTGCAGTTCTTTAGTCACGCAGTAAGTACCATGTTACTTTTCAGACTGTACTCGATACGCTTGGTAAATTCCAGCAATTTTTGTCAGCGGTTTTATTTTTTCAATTTTAACAAAGATTTTGTACTATTTACATTCATAAAGTCAAATATGATTAAAAGAATAAAATGAATGTGATTAAAATGTTATTAACTTT